TCAGACTGGTTCTTCAAAATACACTGACATTTCTGTGAGCTGCTTGATGGGAGCACATCCTCCAACAATGCAGTGACCATTGCTGGTTTCCAATTCTCTGGAATCTTTGTTCATGTGCTTGCATAAATCTTCCCCAGGGGAACCAGCCACCCAGTTCCCAGGGCCCCTGCCTATCATGTTTTCATCAACAGAAAGCCATGTGGCGCCGGTGGGGCCAAACAGAACAAAGCTCAATTCTAATGTCCAGAGTTAGCCCTTCAGATACAGAAGATGCCTTCTCCTGAAGTTTTCTCTTAGGAGCCTGACCCCAGTGAGTAATAAAAAGAAAATTAATAATAGTCATTTATAGAGTAGTTTGAGGTTTGCCAAGTGTTTTATGTATGGTAATTCATTTGACTCTAACAACTTTGGAAGATGGATGCTATTTTTACCCCAATTCTATAGATGAAGAAACTGAGGCTGGAGAGGTCACAAAGCTAGTCAGTCTTTCAGGCAGGATTCTAACCCAAGTGCTCCTGATTCTGAGCTGCATACACTGCAGTGTTGCTGATAGCTCTGACCCTTGGTGCAGGAACCCAGCATCATCCCTGGGATATTTACTTGAATTTGCCTGGTTAGAACAGAAGCACTGGTGCCTCCTGGTCCCCAGGACTCACACCATCCTGCCTTACCTTGGCTTCTACTTGGTATAAGGACAGCATTTACTCCACAGATATCCCAAGCCAGAGAGGAGGAAAGGATCTTTCTTTCCCCTGTAGATGTCCCTTTCTTATACTCTGAGGTGAGGTCTGTCAGCTTCACTTCCCTCCTTCAGGCAATAAATACATGGATCACATCCAAAAGATAAGTCCTTGTAACTTCTGAAAACAACAAACAACTTCCCATCCCTCAAAGGACAAAAATAAGAAAGAAAGAAAGAAAGAAAGAAAGAAAGAAAGAAAGAAAGAAAGAAAGAAAGAAAGAAAGAAAGAAAGAAAGAAAGAAAGAAAGAAAGAAAGAAAGAAAGACAGAAAGAAAGAAAGAAAGAAAGAGAGAGAAATACCACAACCCAAACCACTCAATACAGGAGGGCTTAATCTACTCTCAAATAAAGGCCTTCCCAGAAAGTCATGAATGCTGAAGTCAGCTAATTCAGTCAAAAGATAAGCTTTCTCCAGAGGGAACCTATCTACCGAAAACTTGGGAAGTCGTGGATCTCATCCAAGAAAAAAAGAGTTTTCTCTCTTGTTCACTGCAGTTTTCATTCTGGGGCTGCCCTAAGCCCAGCTGTGTGCTGAAACTTTGCTCTGATCCTTAAATATTTTCAGGCAGGTCACTAGGAACCTAAAGATGGAAAAGGAACTCTAATATGAACACAGTTCCATGAAAAGTCTGTTCTGAAAAACACAGAAGGGACACCTACCAACTCTGGGATGCGATGGTATTATGAAACGTACCAGGTACTACTGTGCCGCAGGAAATAGCAAATGTAAGGAATTCAGAGAAACATGAAGATTGACATGGACGGATTCAAAACAAAATAGGAACAACAATATACACAGAGACTAGTAACGTGAATGAAAAGGACACTAAAAGAAAAAAAATCTAATCTCTGAATAGCCAGGATAGACAACAAAGTTCTCAAATGCAATTACTAAACTCACCTACCTTGCCTTGACATAACCTCCCCCCTGCCCCGGGGAGGGGTGGGGGGAGGATTGCAGAGATAAAATATTGCATAGTCAGGCAAAGTCCTGTTTCTGTTGCTTTTGCTTAGCTGGTTTTCTCTATTATACTTATAAGGGCAAGGAGGCATATTCAGAAATGATTGTAATATTTGAAAAATCACTACAATATTTTTACTAAAAAAATAAAATACAGATGTGAGTTATAGGAGACATGGTGCTCATGGTATTCCAGAAATAAGTGATGAATGAAAGGAGGAAGGAAACATGATGGAGAGACTCTGGCCATATTCCCTATTGCTCTCAAGAACGTGTCTTCACTTTTCACTCCTCACCAGTGGTTAAGATAAGGCTCTCTTGACAAAGGTCCGTTTGTCCCTCCCAAAGATGTCTTGGATCACATTTATCATGCCAGCTATCAAAATGTTCATGCTTCCTGCTCATTATATCATCCTATAATTAAGTCACCCATCACCTTCCCATAATTTCCTTCTGAGTTTTCCCCTGGGGACAGAGGAGAATAGGTCGTTTAAGAATGCTCTTCCTGAGTACCTCTAGACAAGGGTGAGAAAGGAGTCACAGAGTCTCAGACTTTGGAAGGTTCTCAGAGGCCTTCAGACCCATCCCTCTACCACACATCCAAGAGGGAGACAGATAGTCTTTTGGGGAAGACTTTCAGTGATGGGAGATACACTATCACCTAAGAAGGGAGGCTCATTTCGTATTTGAAAAACTCTAATTGTTCGTTTTCTAGTTATCCAGACTACATTTATCTCTTTTTGTCTTCTTCCCTTTGTTTCTGATTCTGCCCTCTGGAGCCATCCCCACAGGTCAAGTCCTATATTTAGTTGACATCTATATGGTACCATAATCTTTCCCTGTTGCCCAACTTTTATTCCAGGATTATCCCAGGATCAGGGATGCTATCCTAGGATTATGGAAAGGAAAGATGGTTGAGAAGGGGAATTTCACTTTCTGTGAGACTGAGGAGACGTTCCCTTCCCCCACTCATTCTATTAAGTGCATGTTAGATGAGAAAACCCCAGGCCCCCACCTTTCCATCTAGCTTTCCTCTGGTTCCCTGATGACAGCCTCCCTGCTGACCTAGGGAGGCATTTCTCAGCTCCATGCACAAGTCCAAAGGGAAGGAAATTATTTTTTATTAACCAGCTTCTAAAAACTGAAGCCTGTTATAAAGGCTGCTCATTTCACTCCCAGAGACCAGGGGGCCATGGCCGAGAAGGCCAGCTGCAATCCTTTTATACCAGTAGGTTGCTTTATTAAAATCGAGATGGGGGGAAATTTTTTTAACCCAATCAAATCATCATAAACTGGGCCAGGTATTTATAGTAAATGAAAGGGTTATAGCGTTCCTTCCTCTCCAGGATGTGGCCCTTGGGAAACATGGATTTGGGGGGTTTCCAAAATGTGCCCTTGTAAGGTGCACCGGTACAGCCCCAGTGAGGGTTAAGTTGCATTTTCCATTATAAACCCGTTTGCAGGGGTTTATGACTCTCCCATAAAAATCTACTCAGGGATGAAATATGTACAGTCCAAGGGGTCTGAGCTCAGCAACGACACCTCCTCTCTCTCTTTTTAAAAAAGCATTCATGAAATGGAACCAAAGTTGTGTGTAGACTCATTTAGCTGACACCACTCCTACCTGGGCAGGAATTCTTTACCTTGTTTGTATCCTGGACCTCCTTGGCAGTCTGTCGAAGTCTATGGACCCTTTCTCATAATAATGTTTCAGATTCATAAAGTAAAATAATATAATCACACAGGAAACCAATTACATTTGAAATACACTTATCAAAATATATGTATTTTTAAAACAAGTTTATGGACCCAGGTTAAGAATCCCTGTAATTCAACCAAATGGCTACTAGGTGCTACTCTGGCCTTGCCATGGGATGGCCACAACAGGAATATCATGAGCCTGGACTGGAAGGAAACAGCTAGTCACATGTCTCTGTGGCAAAGCCATCACTTCCTCAACCTAAGAGATTGGGAAATGTGACAAGGTCTAAAAAAGATACATGGACCCAAGCCAAAAGCCACTACCAATGCTTTAGGCTTCAAGGTCAAGTGATTTTCTAGGAACCCAAGATTTCATAATCTCCTATTTCTACCCTGAAAATTGTCTCCTCTCCAACCATAAAGTGGAAAGTAGGTCAAAATTGCGGAAGGGTTGGGGGTGGAAAGGGAGGAGCTTGGCATCTATTTCTGAAGATGGGTGGAGTCCATTGTCACCAAGATTCCATTTTCTTACAGGAAGTCTTTCCACAGGCCCCAGCTTTCAGTCTACTCCTGCAGAGATGACTCCACCTTTTTAGGGTCATAGGAATATAGATATAGAACCAGAAAGCACCTCAGAGGCTATCTAGTGCAACCCCATCATTTTACAGGTGAGCAAATTGAGGATCAGAGGAATTAAGTATCTTGATCAAGATTCCAGTGATAGAGCTGGGATTTGAACTAAGGTCCTTTGATGCCCAATCCACTATTCTTTCCATGGTACGACATTGCTGCTCACTGATCTGTGCACATGTTGTCTCCCATGACACCTCCATATTAGAATTCGAGGACTACAATCATTTCATTTTCACAAAGGCTCAAGGCAAACAATGAAATGGCTGCTAGGCCACTAATAGTGCCATCCTTTCCCAGGGAAGAAGGGTTATAGACCACTGAGAGCCCAGCTTCACTAAAGTACAGAAACACAAGGAGATTTTGGAGGGCTGGCAATCAGGAGTTGGATTTTGGGGGCACAGAGTTTCCATAGACAAATTTCTAAGGTGTGGAGCAATAATGATGTTAGAGCACTGTTGGAAAGACAATCCACCTAGAGGGGATCCTTGATTCTAGAAATGCTAACATGTAAAGTCACACATTGCCATCCCCTACCAGCAACCAAATGATGGTCCTTAACCACCCATGTTTTCCACTGTATGATCTCCAACTAATTAACAGCTTTCTTAAAATGTGGCATCTAGAACTGAACATATCACTCTGTGCCTTAGGGGTAAGTCAGCAGCTACTTTAAGGTAACCGAGGTATCAGGCTTTCATTCACAGTCCCCATCTCTACCCCTCAAAGCACCATCCAGCCTTTAAAACCCAACTTCAATGGCACCTTCTCTCAGAAGGCTCCTTTAGGGCCCATAGTACGTAATAAACCTCTACCCTCACCTCATTTCCGTGGCCTCATAGAGTAAGTAGGTCATAGCTGTGTACAAATATTTGCAGGCTCATAAGAGAATATGAGAATTGAAAGGGTCCTCAGTGGCCATCTACTCTAAGAAATACACCAAAGAAATCTTCAGGTAGAACATACCTGACAAGTGGGCATCCAGGTTCTGCTGGAAGACTTTAATGGAAGAGGAGCCCATCACATCTCTAGGGAGCCCATTCTACTCTGAGACTGCCTGAATTATTAGGAAGTTGGTGCTGTTTGCCCTGACATCAAATCTACGTTGGACTCGGCCACTTCCCCCTATTGTTCTGCCCTCTGAGTCCAAACAGAACAAGGTCAATCCCTCTTCCTCATGACATCCATTTATATCTTTGAGGGCAGCTATTAGGTCCCCTTTGAGTCATCTTTTCTCTAGGCTAAACATCTTTAGTTCCTTCAAGCTCATATGACATAAACTCAAAGTCTCTTTACCAGGAAGTTGCCTTCCTCTGGACATTCCCCTGTTTATTAATGCCCTTCTAAAACTGTGGTGCCCAGAGTTGAATACAGTCTTCCAGTGTGTGCCTCTGATACATACTGACTGTGGGACTCTGGATGAATCACTTAAACTCTCAGAGCCCAAGGCAACTATATGTGTTTATAAATTATATATGGCTACCAATCTGCACTGACGCTTGCTGTACCAGGAGTCCCCCATGCTGACAAAATCATAGGTCTGAGGGATGGAGAGGGGTCACAGAAGGCCTGGGGTGGTATGGTTGATGGAGGGCCAACTTTGAAATCAGGAAGACCTGTGTTCAAGTCCCATCTCTGAAGCATGGAGCTAATTCCTCAGGTTCCAAGTGCAGTGATTTACAGTTGTACCACATATTTGGAAAACGTCGATCAGAGTCAGTATTACTTGTATTTGGGAAGCATTTGGAAAGAAAACCAGACTTTGCTAGAACAATCTCTAATGTAGCTTATTTCCCAAGATACTGGGTGGCTTCTAAATTATTGATGGCTACATTAAAGAATCGTTCTGTGTATTGGAAACCTGAAATTGCCACCACAAATTAGACTTCTCAGCAAGTTCAGTTTGTGAATTCAGCTCCCAAAGGTCCCTATACAGAGAGGAAAGATTTTAGAGAAAGATCTGGAGCTTTTAATGTTGCCCAGAACCACAGACACTCTGATGTTGGTGCAATTCAACCTGCTCTCATTCTTGGAAGTGCCTTTCATTTCTACAGTCCTTTAAGGTTGACAAAGTTTCCTTACAACCACCACATGAGACAAGGAATATAGGGACCTCTTGTTCCATTTCATGATTGAGGAAACTGGAGCTCGAAATGGTCAGGGTATCTTGTCCATAGTCAAAATCAGGGTTGGTGCCACAGATTGGGTCTTCTGGTTCTAAGATCTAGGCTATTTTCATACCAGCTGTGGTACTTCCTTCCCAACTAATCTGGAATTTCATTGCTACAAGGGACCTAAAGTGTAGAAACAAGTGCAAGACGACCCCCACTGCTTAGCCTCCCCTCCACAGACAGCATGTGATTCCAAAGGATGCCCACCTCCTAAAGATTGTCAGGCCCCCTGGCAAGAGCTAAGCAGACGTTATTTAAAGACTTAACTACACAGAAACCCAATACCCTCATTTTTAATGGAAAGGCAGACTGCTGTTTATTTACTTTTTAAAATCTAGCCTAAATTAGCCCTCATGGAAGCCCCAAAGTCCAGCTTTAAATTAACAGCCTGTCCTCTTTTGTCCTCAGGCTAATTTGAACTTCACCGAAACATGTCTAGGACATTAAAGACAAATAACTTATGTGTGTTCCGCTGCCTGCTAGTGCCCAGGTGTCAGGCAGGCTCTTCACTGGTCCCCAGACAAGTCACCACAACACACTCCTTATGGTCACCAAAAGAAGGCCAGAAGGAATTCTTTTTAAAAGGGAGAAACATATATGTATACATCATATAGGTATGTACACATATATTGTGTATATATGCATACACACACACACATATGTATTTTTTCTTCCTGGGGCTCCAGTGGTAGCTACTTTGGTAGATAAGTTCTGTCTTAAACCATAATGTGATCTGGGAAACCATGGCATTAATCAGATTGTCTTTACTACAGCAATGCCATGCAGGAGCTGCCAAAATAAGAAATGATAAAACTCCATATCAATGGCATCACCCTAGTCTACCAGTACCTGTCCTTGGGGTTCTTCTGTGAGCTCCTCTGCATTGAATCTGAGTGTAAATTCAGCACCAACCTTCAGGACAGTGTCCAGAGGAGGGTCACTAGATGGCTCATAGGTTCCCAGATACAGTTAGAAAAATAATATAGCATTAATATAGTTAGCATTTATACAGCACTTTCAAGTTGCCAGGTACTTTATAAATATTACCTCATTTCATCCTTACAACAATCCTGAGAGGTCGCTGCTATTATTTCTCCCATTTTACAGATGAGGAAATTGAAACAGACAAGGGGGAAATAACTTGTCCAAGATCCTACAGCTAAGTGTCTGAGGCTGGAAAGGATCTTAGAGATCATGTGGTCCAAATTTTTTTTGTTTTGTTTTTTGTTTTTTAACAGATGAGGTCAAAGGCACTAGGCATATTTAGAAGGGAAGACTTAAGGGAAGACTGGTGTAGAAGGGAAAAATTAATAAAGATAGGATATCATCCTTCTGGAATCTGGATGTTCCACTTAACTAGCAGTGAATGATCTCCAAAAGTCTCGTGATGGAAAACGCTATTCACATTCAGAGAAAGAACTATGGAGTTTGAATGCAAAGCAAAGCATATTATTTACTCTTTTTTTCTCTTCTGTTTTGTTTTGTTTTGTTCCTTCTTTCTTGTGGTTCCTCCTATTGGTTCTAATTCTTCTTTGCAACATGACTAATATGAAAATATATTTAATAGGAACAAATATGTAGAGTCTATATCAGATTGTTTGCCCTCAGAGGGAAGAAAATTTAAAACTGAAAAGCTTATGGAAGTAATTATTAAAACTAAATTGATTATTTTTTAAATGGACTTCCCCAAAGTTCTCTCTTGTGCCATTGTCTTTTTCATGAGTGTGTAGAAAACAGCCCAAAAATGGGAACAAAGGGAAGAGGTCTGAGTGACCTCTAAAGGCTCTTCCAGTTCAGGAATCCCATGGCATTTCTTCCAACTGTTCCTAATTAGTGTCCATCTTTATTTTTTTTAATTTTTTTTTTATTTTTAGGCAATTGGGGTTAAGGGACTTGCCCAGGGTCACACAGCTAGTGTCAAGTGTTTGGTCTGAGGTAAGATTTGAACTCAGGTCCTCCTGACTTCAGAGCTGGTGCTCTATCCACTGAGCCACCTAGCTGGCCCGAAGTGAAACAGAGGATTTGATCTTTTTTTTTTTTTTGGCCAGGCAGTGGGGGTTAAGTGACTTGCCCAGGGTCACACAGCTAACGAGTGTTATGTGTCTGAGGCCGAATTTAAACGCAGGTCTTCCTGATTCCAGGGCCGCTGCTCTATCCACTGTACCACCTAGCTGCCCAGTGCCCATCTTTAAAGAACAAAAGGTTTTCAAAGAAAAGTAAATGTGTTTTAAGCTAATAATCAATCCACAAATAACTACTAGGCACCTACTATATGTGGCACCTAAAAGTATAATACATGCTTAATGATAAAAGCACCTAATGAATCAATCACTAACCAAGTGTTTATTGATCTCCTATTATGTGTCAGGTACTATGCTAGGAACTGGTAATACAAAGTAAAAGTATAATATTCTCTGCCCTCAAAAAGCTTACATTTTAGTGGGAAAGACCATAGACATGTATAAAAATATTCAGAATATATCTAAAATGGGTACATGCTAGGCACAATGCTGGAGAGTTTGGATATGAAAAGTAAAAGCATGTCCTGCCCTCAAGCATTTTACTTTCTAGACTTACATGAACTGATGCTAAGTGAAGTGAGCAGAACCAGGAGAACATTATACACAGTAGCAACAACATTGTGCGATGACCAACTTTGATCAACTTAGCTCTTTTCAGCAATGCAGTGATCTAAGACAACTCCAAAATACTTGTGATGGAAAATTCTATCCATGTCCAGAGAAAGAACTTTGAAGTCTGAATGTTGATCAAGCATACTATTTTCTCTTTTTAATTTTTTTTCTTTCTCATGGTTTTTCCCTTTTATTCTGATTCTCATTTCACAACACTACTAATGTGGAAATATGTTTAATATGATTGTACATGTAAAGCCTATGTCAGATTGCATGTCATCTTGGGAAGGTAGAATTGGAGCGAGAGGTAAAAATTTAGAGCTCAAAATCTCGTAAAAGTGAATGTTGAAAACTAAAAATAAGTAAATAAATAAATGACCTGGCAATGAGTGGAAGCAAAAAATGGGCACATTTAGGCCAAATGCCAAGAACTTCTTCACAAGACCAATCTAATTACGCTCCCTCAGGATGGAGTGTGTCCTTCTTTCTTTAGTGCAAGTCTTCATGCACTTGACCAAGGTTTTGGACAGCGGGTGAGATTTAGATCAAATGGTCCCTGAGGTTCCTTCCAACTCTGAAATTCTCTGATTCTCTCCCACACCCATATCCCTTAGAAGGCATAAGCTTTATGTAAAATCAGCTTTTTGAAGGTATGAACTTTATGTAAAATCAACTTTATAAAATGTCGCCCATGTGTATTGTTTCCTCACTCTGCTATAAGCTTCTCGAGGACAAGAGCTGCCTATACTTTTGTATTTGCAGCCCTAGCATTTTGCACAATACTTGGAGCGAAGGAAGCCCTAATCCAAGCCTTTTAAGTCATTCATTCAACATCCCGTGTTTCATAGGCCAACAGGACCACAGCGTCTGACCAAAAGCCTCTTTAACTGTTCTTGTCCATCTGGAGGGTCTTTGCCTGAATCATATACAATCCATCAGCAAGCACTTATTATCTGTTTATAGGCCCTGGAGAGGATTAAAAAGCATTCAGGCTGGCTGATGCCTGCCTTCACGGACCTCAGAAGCTAGATGGGGAGATGAAGCATGGATACAAGAAACACTGACAAATAACCTAAGATTCAAACGGTGGTTGCAGCAGTAATTCAGAGAAGGGAGGATTAAGTTGGTGGGAGGAAGGGAAGATGACTAGAAAGACTACAGAGTGGAGATGGAACTGTAGCTAGGCCTTCAAAGATGGATGAGCCAACTTCAGATCATTAATCAATCAATCAATTGATAA